GAAGTAGCTCCACCCGCTAGAGCTTGCGCGCGCACCGGCTGACCTTACAGTGATTCCACCATCTCAGCAGCAAGGTCTCTCAACATCGGCAAAATGGACGAAGAGGTCTCGCAGAAGCACCATGGACCTTATCATCTTCTACTCACCTGACAAATGTACCATGACTACTACATCAACAATGATCAGGCCGGGTACAAGATCGAGTACCCTTTCGCTTACATCAAGAACATGTACCTCGAGAACCAGGAGGGCGACCCCAGCAAGCCCAGTGGCATTGTCATTGAGCTCAACAGGCCCCCCCATTTCTTCATGGACCAGACGCCCGCCACGAGTGGTTTCTTCCAGTGCGGCGATTTCACCGAAGAGCAGCAGGCCTCGAACTGTCTGGTTCACCACCTCGGCGGCAACCCCAAGGTTCTCAGCGGTCAGCTTGCCAAGCTGGTCTCACTCGATGCCTTCATGAACCGCAACAACCCGAACCCTTTCTTCGAGAACCACTCTCTCTCCGTCTCCGCCCCCGTCTCACCTACCGCGCGCCCCTCTTCACAGCCCAACTTTGCTCAGCCACACGTCGGCATGTTCCAGGAGTCCTGGGGCATCAACCACCTGCAGCCTGGCATGCGTGGTCCTGGCCACAAGAGGCAACGCAGTAGGTCTGTGCCCATGGCTGTTGACTTCTCCATGCTCCAGACGCCGATGCCGTCGTTCTACATCCAGCAACCCGGCGAGGCGGCACCTCAGCCGCACAACCCGAATATTTTCGCTCCCGTCCCACAGCAGCCCAGCGGCCTTGGTCCCAATCTGAGGATAGACACGCAAGCTGGTTTTGGGATGGAGATGCGGCAGTATCCCATGTCGGCAACGACCGCGTCTCCATCCGAGTTCGCGAGCCCTGGCTACTTTGCCGGACCGGAGCCGAGCCCGCTGCCGACGTCTAGCTACAACACGCCATACGGTGGAGCGTTCCTCTCGCCGATGGCGAACCCCTCCAACATGGTCCCGCCGCCGCATTCGCCTCTGTCCTTCAACGGCCATGGCGAGCCCTCCATCGTTGAGCAGTCGCCGCCCCTGTCTATGCTGGGCAGGGCCGGCGTCTGCTGACATTTATCGCCATCACGGTGGCGGTGACGCGTCCTGTGCCGTGTCTGAGATGCGGCAGCCTTAATGAGA